GTTTACGATGCGTTTGTTGCATTCAGAATGTCCCCGGTTCGTTGGTCATTCCGAGGAGGCCATACAGCGGCTAAGGAATATGCTGTCCGTGGCGAATAAGGTGTTTTTGCTTGTTCAGACCACTGTTTACGAAATTCGATCTAGGCATCAAGTCAGTTTAGTACACTGCGACATATCATTTTTTGTTTAGCATTTCGTTTTTGTTTACACGTTATGTTTATATGTTTGTCAAACAGTACTGAAGAGCAAAGGCAGAAGCACGTCTCTGGCAAACTGCACAGGCAGTTGGGAATAGCAGTTAGTTCTCCTTAGATTTTGACAACACATATGGTTCGTGCGTATGTTTTCCAAAACAGAAATGAGGTATTAAGATATTTGTACCAGGCTTTCTGAGTAATTTCCTAAATATCTCCGTTTCACAGCATGACCAAGTGCCGCTTTCAGCTACTACTGTCCCCTTAAAATCAGCGCCTTTCGCGTCAGTTACGAGATTTCAGTGTTACCAATATATGCAAGGAAAACGAATTTCCACCGAGACCGCTATCTGGTGATCTAAAAATGTTTGTTCCACTCTTTGGTCAATTTGTCCTTTTTACATCATTGACTTTCAGATAAGGTTGGCATTATGCAGAGTACCATAAAATGCCGCACAGCTGTGATGTCTTCTTTCTTAAGTCGACTGCCTTCTTGAAATCATTGCACTGCATCAGTACATTGCCAGACGGGCTTTCGGCTCTTTCTACCTACCAACCGCGCCGTTAAAGACCTTCCAAATTTTACCAGCCTCCTACCTTAAAGAGGGCAAGTTAGACATGAGCCGATACGTCGTATTGGTCAATCATCCGATTGACCAGATTATTTTTTGCATTACATTTTAATAAACTATGAATAATACCCTTACACAGTTCTGAATGTTCAAACTAAATTGTCAGCTTATTATAGTTCGGTTCCAAAATGACTATCTTTAAGTCTTTTAAAAAATAATAGGGGTTGTCGTCCAAAGGAAGTCCTCACAATCAGCTGACCGTTCTCAGCAACTCTGAGATGATTCAGCTGCTATTCTTTGATCTTTGTTCCTTCTTATACTTATTGATTGTTTTTAGATATTGAGAAACTTAGATGCCTTTTCAAAAGAAGACATGAGCTACGACGTTTATGCTAATCAACACGACAAGGTACTTTCGGTGCAGTTGTGGAAAGAACGAAGGCATCGAATCATTGATGTCCTAGCGCGCACATGTTTTGCTATGAAGGTAAAGTTATGGTTCTGTAAAGTATAAAATTTTCGAAGCAGATACATCAGATTGAATATACTGTGTATTACGATGAACTTACGGTCGTTCGCATTTTGATAATGACCAAGCTAAAGATACGTTCCGTAAACTCTCACTCGTTATAAATCTTTCTCGACCTTCACACCTCCAGTTATTGAAATGGAATTGAAAACAGTTCTTTTTTTCAGACATTGGTGTATGGCTATAATTTCAAATTTTTCTAGGATTATCATTCAGCGATTCTTGCCTACGAGCAGCTTGAAACGGTAAACGCTGATCCGGTGGTGCAACGCAATCTGGGTAAAATGTGTCTTCATGCCGGCGACGGACCCGCAGCCATGAAGTGGTTTCAAAAGTCATGTACCGCCGGTGGAGCGTTGAATTCTCCCGACCAAAGCTTGCTCTTCAGGTATGATTTTCTCGTTAGAAATAGGATGCCAGGGTTAGTTTTGCTTGTTTTCTAGTGGATTCATAGAAATCTTTCAAGGCAACTACGCAGCTGCTGTTGAAAAATTTACGACTTTAGCCGAAAGAAACAAAAGTAGTTATGTGGTGAGTTTTTCCCTTTGCACTAGCATGTTGTAAGAATCTGATTAAATTATCCTCATGCTTGTAAAAGTATAAGAGTAACTGGAAAGTGATAATATCTTAAAACGCATATATGTCTCGAACCTGAGAGATCGTCTAATTCCGCAGTAAGCTGTATGTTTTTTCAAGATATTGGAGAACAAAAATTTAACAGTTACAGTGAAGGAGCTCAGGTAAATGGATACAGTAATCCTCATTCTTTAGTAGTCAGACAGCTCTGTCAAATGAGGCTATGCAGCCGCCCTGCAGATAGATTTGATTAGCTATGATGTGCAGTGATTGTTTGATCATCATCTAACTTAGCTTAA